GAGCCGAGGGACGCTGCACGGGCCCTGGGAAGAGGAGCAGGGTCCCGTGGCAGAGGGGGGACCCTGGGGCAGGGCGAGGTACGAAGCTGTGAAGAAGCACTTGGGAACTGTGGGTGCTCTTTCCAAGCAGTATTGGCAGTACCTGGCGTGCTTTAGGAGGGCTGCAAAGAGGAGGAGGACGAAGAGGAGGAAGAGTCCAGTCCCAGGCCAGGTAAGCGCCTTCCTCTTTTCTCTCCCTCTCCCATGCCTGAGGTCTAAACACCCCACTTCCCCCAGCATAGCGGTCTGTGCCCCCAGCTCCTGTGGATGCTGCCCTGGGCATCTCTCGCTCAGCTTCCCCTGGGTTGCCACGAACACGCGTCTCCCTGTGCCCACCTGAGGCAGCTGCTGCCCGTTAGGTGCTTATCCCCCTCCCCACAGCCCAGGCTGCCCGCCCGGGCTGGGTCTCATCCCCTGCACCTGGGCAGAGGGCTGTCGTTAACCAGGCTCAGCTGAGCCTCCATGCAAAAATACAAAAAAAGACGCTTGCTGGCACATCTCTGCTCAGTCCGCTGCCTTTTCCAGGCTGGAGTTTACCTCTGGTGGGCCAGGATTACCTGGAGATCCTCTCTGCCTGGTACTGCAGCTTCGGCAAGTGCTGCAAGACAGGAGACTGCAGGATAGTCAACAATATCACAGGTGGGTGCTGTGCGGTACTTGGGAGTGTTTGTCTCTGCTGCCTCTCCTTGTCTCTTTTGTTGTTTGGTTGTGGATTGTTTTCTTTTTAAAAAGTATATTTTAACAAGTGATGTAAGTAAAGGGCATTTCTGAGCAGGATGCTGAGCCGTGGGAAGGTGAGGGGCCGAGCTAAGTCCTGGTTCCCATTGTTCTTTTGTAGTTCTGAGGCTGCAAGAGAGTTTGCTCCTTCCTGTACAGCGTATCTGCTGCGGCTTGCCACGAGCCCTGCCTTCATCCCGTAGCTCCCAGGCACATGCAGTGGGCCGCAGCCTGGCCCAGTATCCATCCCCAGGTCAGGAGGGCACACGAGAGCTGCGTGTAAGCCCCGTGCAGGTGTCATTGTGGTTTTCTGTCCCTGAGACTGGCGGTATCCGTACCCTCTGCTGGGGGCTTGTGAGGGGCTGTGGCCTTCGGTGCTCTCTGCAGTCATCAAATACCTCCTCCCCTTCCCAAAGGAAAAAAAAGAGTCAGGGGAAGATCTGTGTCTTTTTGCAGGGAGCGGTGGGTACAGGCAGCCTGCCTCTTTAACCCTGTGGCTTTAATGCCACTTGAGACTCCTCTGGGCAGGGCAGTGTGAGCTTAGTGCCCTGCCACATCATCTCTTGTTCCCACCTGCAGCACTAGCAGAAGCCGGGCTTGCAAGTCAAAGCTGAGCTCTTGCTCTCTCTTTCTCGCAGGGCTAGAAGCAGACCTCAACGGGCAGCTCCACGGGCAGCACTTGGCCAAAGAAGTTGTCATCCGGGCGGTGCAAGGGTTCCTGCAGAGCCCACGGCCGCAGAAGGCTCTGGTCCTCTCTTTCCACGGCTGGTCTGGCACAGGCAAGAACTTCGTGGCTCGGATGGTGGCCAGTCACCTGTACCGGGATGGGCTGAAGAGCGAGTGTGTCAGGGTGTTCATCTCGCTCTTCCACTTCCCCCATCACAACTACGTGGACTCGTACAAGGTGAGAACCACCAACGTGGTGTTGCCATGGGGATGGTCCGATGTACTGGGTCTGGCTGGGATGGAGTTGATTTTCTTCAGAGAGCCCATCCAGGGCTGTGTTTTGGAGTAAAACAGTGTTGATAACACACCAGTGTTACCACACTGCTGAGCAGTGCTTGCACAGCCTCAGGGTTTTCTCCTTCTCCCACTCTGCCCCCACAGTCAATGGGTTGGGGGGTGTGCAAGAATTTGGGAGGGAGCGCACCAGAGAGCTGACCCCAACCGACCAAAGGGATGTCCCGTGCCATTTACCATCCTGCTCAGCAGTAAAATCTGAGGGGAGGGGGCTTGGGGTAGGAAGCCGTTGCTCAGCCACCGGCTGGGCATCAGTCTGTCTGTGGTAGGTGTGAGCGGTTGCCTTTGCATCGCTTGCTTTGATTTCTTTCTTTCTTTCTTCCTTTTCCTTTGCTTATTAAACGATCTTTATCTCAACTCGCTCATGTGCTTGCTTTTGCTCTTTCTGTTCTCTGCCTTGTCCCACTGGGTGGGAGGGAGCAAGCGAGCGGCTGAGAGGTGCTTAGCTGCCAGCCAGGGTTAACCCACCGCATCCAGGCTCAGCCCCTGCACGATCTCCTGGTGGCAGTGACTGCTGCTGGGCTTCTCACGTTCCTCCTTGCTGTTGTGCAGGCTCAGCTGAAGAAGCAGATAAGTGAGACTGTGCAGCTCTGCAAGCAGTCCCTGTTCATCTTTGATGAGGCAGAGAAACTTCATTATGGCCTCCTGGACGCCATCAAGCCCTTCATGGCTCACTCTGATGAGGGCCACGTGGATTACCGGAGATCCATCTTCCTCTTCCTCAGGTGATTTCTGGGCCCCCAAAGACATGGGTTGGGGAAACAGTGATGGAATTTATCCCCTGAGGTGTGCGATATGAGGGGCTCAGGCTATAGAGGAGGGAAAAGAGATGTCCAGCTCCTCCAAGAGGCGGTTGCCTCCGTAGTCAGTTTTGCTTATTGATGCTGGGCATCCTTCCTGGGTACGGGGCATTTGCAGGAGGAGCTGAGGTCCAGCTTAGCTGGGACACCTGAGCCAGTATCTAGGCTCTGAGACAAGGAAACAGAGACTCTGAGAGTCAGAGCTAACGTGGTGGCACTCTGCACCCTGGAGAGCTGAGCAAGGAGATCCCATGCTCCAGGGAGCAAAGCTGGGGCTGCAGGTCTTGGTGGCAAGTTCTTGTACAAAGTGTCACTGTTAGTTGGGAGCGGGAGGTGGGGGCTTCCCACCATCTGGCTGTGGCTGCAGGCTGAGGTGCCATCTGTCTGCGGGGCTGTAAGGGAGGATCCCGGCATCAGGTCACCCCATGGTTTAGCAATTTGAGGTTAGCTCCTTTCCCATCTGGATGGAGAAAGGTTTTTGGCATGTGTGCACCCCAGTGTTGGCCCTGATCCAGGTCTAGGTGGGATGGATCTGGGGGGAGAAGTGGGACGTCTCAAAACCGAGATGTGAGGTAGGCAGATGCCTAAAGTAGCTAGTGAGAAACACCAAGGAGACACGAGTGTCTTGGACCCCCTTCAGTTTAGGACGCAAGAGGTGTTCTCCCAGGCTGGAGGTGGGCAGAGCATTCATTCTCCATCTCCTCCCATCCAGGCAAGTGCTCTCACCTCCAAGCTTGGTGGTTCCCCAGGGAGGTTTGTCGACCCATGAAAAACCTGTGCCCGGTGCTCATGGGGCTGACCGCATTTCAGTCCTACCTGCGTGGAGCTCTGGCAGGAGCCGTGGTGGAGGGGGCAGGTTCTCCCTTGTTGCTAGGGGCAGGGTGGACATGCTGCCAGCTGACCTTGTCCTACCTGGCAAGCCGTGCAGGTGCAGTGGGCTGTCGACAGCCCCTTCGTGCTACCAAGCAGAGGAGCAGGGTGCCTTGAACTGCAGCTGTGTGTAAACCTGGGGGGGGTTTCACAATACCTGGTGGCAGTGTGACACAGACCTGTTGTAGGAGGGCTGGCTCTGCCCCAGGGCTCCTTTGGACACCAGCTCCTGCAGCTTCAGCCAGGTTTGGGTGATGGGGACGGGGTGGGACTGGCTGGCTGGCCTCAGACAAAGGGGCTGTTTCTCCAGTCTGGGTGGGAGCAGGATCAGTACAAACTGTCCTGTTCCCCCCCCAAACAAGGCAGTGTGGGGGAAACAGTGGTGGCTTTTTAATTTTGCCTCCCCTCCATTTGGGGAATGGGTCCAGAGCCTCTGACACAAGAGGAAAGATGGGTGCAAGATCTATGTCTCCCATGGACCTTTACTTCTAGTGGGGCTCCCACCATGCGCTCTGCCCTTTAACTTGGGCTTTCAGGGGTGATTTGTTGAGAGTTTGGTGTGGGGCCCAGTGTCACCTGCAAGGTTGATGGCATCCCAGCCAGGACAGAGGACTGACGGAGATGGAGGATTCCGCTGGCTCCTGGTCCTGCCCTGGAAGAGAAAGCAGCTGCCCAAGGATCTGAGCGGGAAGGATGGAAGATAGCTGTACAGATGCCTATGGAAAGGGGCTCTGTGGGAAGAAAGCTGATTCCTCTGTGTGCTGGTCTTTCAGATGTTGATCCTACACAGCAAATCCTTCATTGGCAGAATTGCTCTAGGGGAGCCTGCTGGCAGCTCTCAGCAGTTCATCTCTGATAGCATGGTTGAGTGATCTCCCTTCCATGTCCACAGCAATCTCGGCGGCAACACCATCAATGAGGTAGCCCTGGATTTCTGGCGAGCCGGCCGGGCACGGGAGGAGATCTCCATGGAGCTCCTGGAGCAGCGGCTGCGGCTGGAGCTGCTGGAGCCTGCAGGTAAGAGCTGGGCTTGCTTGCAGGATGCTGTGTTACACGGTACCATCCACCTCGTGCCGCACAAGTGTGTGCGCTGTGGAACAAACGTTTATTCCAACCCTCACCCCGGGGTTATTTGCAATGTGAGCCCCTTCCTACATCCACATTAACCCAGCACCACGAGCACAGCACCGCTGCACCAGCGAGGCACACGAGGAGGGAGCTCCAAGTCCTTCTTGCCCCCTTCAGCCCTGAAAGGGCCAGGTTGTGAGAGGCAGCCTAACACCGTAGGGAAGCATCAAGGGGGATTCAGGTTTCTTTTGGCCTGAGACAGCCAAGCTGTGGTGACGTTCTGTGATCAGACTAAGTGGTGGCCAGCTCTGTCCAAGAAGGAGGGTGCGTTTCTCCCACCACATGTGGCTGGATAAGCCAAGACAACCCTCAAGGAGCGACCAGCCTTGCCTCACAGAGGGATGCCAGCTCTCAGGCAAAGCTTCTGAAGTTTTTGTCTTGCTTTTTGCTACAGAGAACGGTTATGCTCGCAGCCACCTCCTCGAAGAGAACCTCATCGATTTCTTTGTGCCATTCCTGCCCCTGGAGTACCACCATGTGAAGCTCTGCGCACGGGATGCTTTCCTGGCCCGTGGACTTCACTACCCGTGGACTTCCCTACGCCGAGGCAGCCCTCGACGAGGTGGCCAGCATGATGGTGTTTGTCCCCAAAGAGGAGAAGCTTTTCTCTGCACAGGGCTGTAAATCTGTATCTCAGCGCATCAATTACTTCCTTCCTTGAACACCAGGTGGGACTACACCAGTTGGTGAAGGTGGTTCTGCACACTTGGAGCTGCTCTCCTTGCACAAGGTCAGGCAAGCAGATTACCCAGCCCTGCACTTGCACGGGGACAGAGACTTAACCCTTTGTTACTCCAAGGGCTGTTTGCACGGAAGGAGGTGCACCCTGCCCAGCTTTACTCGTGGGACATGGCGCAGCACTTTGCTGTGTTTGCAGTCTGTCTGGTGTTTTAAAGTCCCTTCTCTTAGCAGGTAGTAGCCCAAAGTGATTCGGTTGTGCTGACAAATGCTTTGTTTCATGTGAGCGGGGATGTCCGAGTCCTTGGTTTGTTACCATGTAATGAAGGCCGTGGACAGACTGGCCCTGTTGAGCCCAGCAGAAGCCACGTCCCCATCCTTGTCCCCAGTTTTGTCAGTCACTTTATGAGCTCTCAAATGGCACAGAACTGTCTAGCTGGAGTGGAGTTCTTTTCTCTTTTGCTCTCCTGCATTCACAAGGCGTCTGCTGGTCAGGGACGTGCGTGCCAGGATCATGCTTTGTGCAGGGAGGCTCTTGCATAGAGAAACTGACTGAATAATCTCCTCCGGAGATGTCAAATCCATCACCTCTCACTTTGGAGTACTCCTGTCTCGTTGGAGTCTTTCGTTGTATGGAAGCAGCTGCGGCGATGAGGTGCACTTCTGCTGAAATAATTTTTCTAAGCAGTTTGGTGAAGAGCCTTTGCTGGAAAATGAAAAAGGGGAGACTAATTCCCCTTTTGAGGGGGATGTTGAGGGCAGTTGAGGAGGATGGTGGCTGAAGGAACAGGCTGCAATTGAATTTGGGTTTTCAGGGATGCGGTAAGCTGCTTTCCCCCACGCCCAGTACGTTGCATGCTGTGGATTTTTGGCTGGTATCAGCGTTACTACACCAAGGGGCTGTTTGCTGTCTGGGTGCTTGCCAGGTGATAAGTATGTTACAGCAGGACCAAAAAATTTCAACAGTGTTGCGGGAATCGCTTTGTGACCTCTAGGTCAAAACTCCCTTCCAACACCGCTGGGCTGGGGCAAGGAGGTGAAACAGCACACGCCAAGGCCAGGGCTCAGCTCCCTGGACACCCTGCGTGCGGACCTTTGATCTATTTTAAGCTTTGAACCTCTCTGTGGTGCCAGCAATGAGCAGCACGACCTCTGGGAAAAGATTGACCAGACACACTTACTACTCCCCACAGACTTTGAGTTTGTGTTTCCCTCTGGGCACGCTGGCTCCGTTATCTAACGAGGCTTCATAGTCCAAGGCAGGAAGACAAACCAGCTGCTTTCTTACTGCTCAACTTGAAACTTACCTGTTGGCTCTAGGTTGGACCTCAGGGCCCGTGCACCGTTATCGGGCGTTTCTGAGACTTGGTTTATGGATAATCTCTTAGTCACAAACTGTGAATCCTAAAGTTTCAGCCTGGGAAAGAGCAGAGGGAGACAGGCCCGGGAAGTCAGCTGGGAAGGGGAGGATGCAGCCCACAACTTGGGTTGTGTTTTGTAACCTGGGCAGAAAGTTTAGAAAGTTGCTAATTGCTTAGGTGGTTCTATAAACTAGAATAACCTATGATATATATATTTTTTTTTTCAAATAGAAAAGAATCCTCAGCTGTCCAGGTTAGACTGATGCCATTTGGAGTGGAAGGAAGTCACTTGGTCAGCCATTTCCCCAGTGCGGGGCTGGTATGAAGTTGGCAGGTTAACAGTTCTTACTCTGTTACTGATTAAGGAGGTGGTGGTTTTACTAATGAAGGCAACTGTCAAACTGATGATGCAAGAGCCTGTGCTCTGCCAGGTCACACTTGTGTGTGTTTGTGATTTAAGTGAGCATTTGATTACACAACCTCA